CAATATTTCTTAAATTTTTTTAAGTCACAGAAGCAAAACAAGTTTGCGATGTATCGATACTCTTCATCCAACCCTTTATAAAATTCTTGAAGAGGCTTTATTGAAGTAGTTCGATACACAACTAAAGTGCATACAAAAAATCCTGTCCTTTTATTTATGGAAAACAATAATTACATCATATCATTCTTTTCAGAGATTTAAAAAAAAATTTTTTAATATTTTCCTTTGGAATATCAAAACATTACTGGCTATCACCAACTAAAGATTGAAATTTATTTTGACACAATAGAGTTGAATTTACTTCACACAGTTTATCTGTGATTGGATTGTTTAAGGTTTTTGTAACCAACATTGGTAATGTTAAAATTTTTTACTAATTTTACAATATATCAGACTTTTTGAATGTAGATACCGCAGTACAAACACCAAAAACAATCGATAAATTCTCAACCCTGATGCATAACTTTGAGATATGGTACAAGAATCGCGAAAATTATTGAAGGCAAACTTTATTCTGCACATATCCGCTGTATCATACATGTATGCTGCCGGTGTTCGACAATCACCACAAGGTATACTCCCCCTGGGAACTGCAGAGTCAACGTATTCACTGACTCCTAACGGGACGTTGTACATATATGCATGTGCGTATACCTACACATGCATTGCAAAGAGAGGAACGAATATTTCCGGTCATCAATCCAAGGAGTAAATATTCACGCCAATGATTGCACGCTCACGATCGTTTATTTGCTTTATCTCTCTCTTTCTCTCTTTTGTACGCGTCCCGTATCGGCTAACCCGAATAATAAAGACATCCACGCGAGGTTGGGTGTTATTTTTGTTTTGCAGTACAAGCGCGCCGACTTTAATTAAAGTATGCCCGCCTGTGCGTGACTGCCTGTGCGGAGATGGGGCGTGTCGATGTGATAGTCGTTTATATACGGCCTCTCGATTCGCGCCTGAATTTTAATCACGCAAGAGAAAAAAAAAGTTGAATACGCAAGGAAAGGACACTGCGTGTACTAAATGTTATTTGGATTGCTGAATTCAAATGTGAAGTTGGTGCATTACCTTTTGCTTAGTGATACTTTTTTGAACGTAACGTTTTTCGACTGTAGCCGAACACATATTGTAATCTGGACACTATTTCAGAAATAATTTTTAAGTATAGTCCAACACTTCATCAATATCCAATGTTACTTTCACAAAAGTTGTTAAGTAAAGATGTAATCGCAGATCCGCATAATTAATCCTTATGCTACGTGGACTCATAAGTAATCGTACCTACGGGTGTCAAAGTGCAATATGATCCATTCAAAGAACATGAATCTATTTCATTACAGTGCTTTTAACACAATATGACATTTGACAATGTCATACTAATAACGTTTTTTCTGATAAGTAAAGTTTAAATTATATATTTAATCCTTCCTCGTACACCAGTAAAGTATTTTATACTAAATATGATAAAATACGTATAATACACTCAAAAAGATTGACAACAACTGTAAAAAAAAAAAAAAAAAAAAACGCAAATTGTATAACGTAAGTCATTGTCATTCAGTACAACTTTTACTTTTTTCTCCTGATAAACACCAAAGAACGTATCACATTTATAGCTTTGATTTAAGCAAAACTTTTTTTTATAATTTCTTTAACTGATTGTCAACTCTGATTAGTAGAAGAAACTAACCAGTAAACGTCATTTTACTCGTCAAGCAAAAAAAACATTTGAACGATTCTACAAAAAATTTACCATGACTTGTCAAACGCATGTTTCTTCCATCCAATTACCATAAATCTTTCTCGTTATGACATGTCTATTTTTAAACATACTTTTGACCTTACGTGACTAATGGCAAAACTTTTTGGTTAAACGAATGTATTGTTACTTTTCACAGCAAAACTTTATCAGAAAATGTAGTAACGATTTAAACATTTGATATTTTTAACACATTGATTTTATGCATTAATGAATGTATTAATTTTTTTTTTACTTTTTGTTACAGGTAAGTTTCAAAAAACTTCGTTATGTTACTTATCTTCGTTGTCACGTAAGTTTTTAAATATTACTTGATAAAGATTAATAATAGACAAAATTATTTAAACCTTTTAAAATTCATACTATTATTACACGAAACGTTGTGTATCCTTCACTTTGTTATACAATAACCCAACAATAACTAGTATAAGTTTTTTTCTAGTCAAATAATACAATTTTTCATTTTTTTATTATTCTAATGCACAAAACGTATTAAAATAGTTGCACACAGATAACATTGTACTTTAACACGCCGTTTTCTATGATGAATGTTAAAAGCATCAAATGGTTAGTAACCAGATACTAATTTTTTTTAACTAAACAAATCCTAAGCCTACTTTAATTTCATAAAAAATTTATCAATACTTTATTCTTGAAAAAATATCCAGCGAATACGAAAAACATTACTGAATTATAACAAGAAATGTATGTATACATACGTTTTTTTAATAAAAATAAAGTCAAGCCTCAATTATCCATTCAGCCAATTTCTTGTAAGAAAAACGAGAAAAACTCTACAATCTGCTATTATCTGCATCGAACCTTGCAGACGCACCCCCAGGCAATAGGCGCCGCGCAACACGTATGTACTTACGTGTACATGCATAAACATCTACAGCACTCCTTAGCATGCCTAAGGAATCGTAAAATCTTGTCTCGCCCTCTCTCTCCCTTTCTACCTGCACGTGCGAAGAAACCGGCTAGTTGCAGTGATTGGCGACAACACCCTTGGGACAGCCACGCACTTTTCTTTCCGTCCCTTTTTTTTTATCGTAGCATTTTTTAACTTTTTTTTTTTACTTAAAGTGACTCGGTGGCGACGGTAATCTATGTCGATCTCTTCACGACTCTACATGCCAGTGCATGAATTTATTAATATTCGGAGATCTTATGTCATTTCACATATAATGGGGTAGCAACTGAGGATTGAAATGGTACATTTTTTTCTAATGTTATGCTTAATTGATTTCTTTGGACTATTGGCCTATGATTTCTTTGGAGAAAAAATTCATTTTTACAAGATTGTCAAACGCGACGTTCTGCTTTGATGAAATTAATTAAAATGATGCTCTGCATTTTTACAATACTGCCGTATTGATGAAAATTTAATTTTCATGTCAACTTTAGGTAACTTTTATTTTTTTTTAAGTGAAAGCTGTTAATCCACGTCACTGTGGCTTTTGAGTTTCTTAGTGACTAGTCCAGAAGTTTTTTTTGAATATGCTCTTAAGGAACTAAACTTTTTGTACATTTTACTATGAATAGTTTTAATATTTTGACACAATAGAGTTGAATTTACTTCACACAGTTTATCTGTGATTGGATTGTTTAAGGTTTTTGTAACCAACATTGGTAATGTTAAAATTTTTTACTAATTTTACAATATATCAGACTTTTTGAATGTAGATACCGCAGTACAAACACCAANTAATTTAAGCTCTCAAAATCAAACGAATAAATTTTGTTTTAAAATTTATAGCACCATAATAATTTCCCATTTATAAAGATTAACTTTTTTGTAAAAGTGTCTCACAAGAATTTGTAATGAAGTCTATCACATAAAAAAATTTTTTTGCATAACATCACATAATTTATGTATACAAAACAATACATTTTCTTATGATAGTACAAAACACTGTGCATAAGAACGAAGAAAAAATTTTTGTTCCAAGACAAATCATTGACATATTACTAAACTCTACAAGTCGTCAGTGCGTATACTCTGTAAATATGGCTTTCGTTAACCTACATGGTAAAGAAATCCAAATAGGATCATTCTTCAAGGTCAAGGACATAGACCGTAATAACTTATCGAGTCACCGATTGAGACGTGTGTAATCTTTATTTTTATGTTTCAACTTTAATTAAATGTAAGCCGTAGAGATTTATATTGAAGCACAATCGGTATATTTCAATAAACATGATATCTGAATAATCCCTCAAATCGGCAAAATTTTACCGATACCATACGATTCAGATCGTAAAAAATTTTTTAACTAAATTACTTCTATTGTTAATTCTTCGTAATCTAATTTTAAGAAATAATTTATACCATACATACTTTAATTTTTTTAATAATTATGTTAAGACAATTTCAAAGTTCTATCAGACTAATGAGTTTCAAGTATTTTATAGCAAAATTGATGAATTCATTGGAATTTCAATAAACATCAACATGATATTTTTATCAAGGTTAAAAAACAAACCTCTCGAACAAATAATACATTTTCATATTTGTGCGTGCGTGTAAGAAGATAACATTTTTAAACTTTTGTTACACTTTCTACAAAATATACGTAAATTTTAATAATCCCGAATTCAAATTAATGTTTAACTACAAAATTTTGCATAATCACTTCAAAAGGCCAATTCAATCGCATTTTGTTGCTGGATAAAATTGTAATTCGGAATCCAGTCCAAAATATACATATATTATAAAACCAGACCCGAATAGACCAAAATCATTATACTCAAAGAAATAGATCTAGTAAATGATGAAAGAAAGTGTTGCGCGAGCGCAGTCTATTTTTAAATTCCACCGACTGCAACTATAAATATATGACACGTGGTAATTCAAAAATTTTAACGCTCTATAAAAATTCTTCAAATTCTACTAAAAAAACAACGAGAAAAAAAACACTCCTTAGTTGTTATTTGCTCGAAAAATACGTATGCGTTAAAAACTTTGTATTACAATTTCGAAACTACGTGCGACTTTTCTCTAATTAAATTAACATTCGTAGAGTACAAGCACGTGCGTTCTCAATAGATACTTTTGTCATCGCAAGAACAACAGAGCCTGTTTTGTTATTTCACGGCTGGTGTGACGGAAAAAATATCAGAGCTTTGAGAGAAAAAAATAATAATAATAATAATAAGTAAAAATTGTTTCCAAAAAATTTCAAAACTCGCAAGCAAGACTCGTAATATTCCTCAAGACGCTAGATATACTAACTTTGACGTGTGGGACTCAGAAAACTGCTCAGCTTCCAATACGAGATGAAAGTTGTCACTCGGCAATTCCCCACCTCTTGTCTGCCCTATCACTCCCACGTCGATGCTAATACAAGAATTGTCTTTTTTGTTCACAATTTTAAAAGTAAAAAAAAAAAAAAAATCTGACTCAAATCAATAAATACGTCACACGCGCGTGTTCAAAATTCTACATGTATATGCGGCTCCAAGAGAGACCACAAACCAGCCGATGGAAGCTCCTTAGCCACGGCTCCAAGCGAGACTGGCCCAGTTCCATCGTATTACCGGCTATTATATCTCCCTACCTTTTCTCCCATGTCCTGGTATAGATATACACCTCGTCGTATACCCTCCACTTCGCACATACACGCTCCGTTCACTCGTAGGTAAATGCACACCTCGCACGCACATGCCTTGTTGCATCTTTGGGATTATGTTCGGCACAACGCGTTTATCGTCACGTCCTCCGATGACGCTGATTGGTTTTTTAGCTCCTTTTTTTTTAACTCACTGACAGGAGAGCGGGCCTGCCTATGGTCACGCGTGTGTGGGCTTCGTTTGTTTTTGCTTTCGCTGAATCCACAGATGTTTGGGGTCGATGATCTAAATGGTCGTGTATATGAAAGGTTTTGGAGGAATATGGATGATTGTTTTTTTTTATCTTACAAACCTTTTCTTATAAATGAGAATTTTTGGAAATTCTATCCTTACGAGTTTTCATGATTACAATGAGTGAATAATGCAACAGTAGTCTCACATCTCTTTTGGCGAAATGACGTGTTCAATTCATCAAACGAGAAACTTTCGTCAAAAATGTAATAAGCAGCGCAAACATTGTACAGTCATGCGTTCATGTTTACGTCTGTAGTTATTATTTTAACTTTGATTGTAATTTCATTATCCGCTTCTCATAATTTTTTTATCTTGACCTTCGAGAAGTACGAAGTTTAAGCAGCTACTTGTTATTGTCATAATAAAAGAAATTGCTCAAGTGATTCAGTTGATACGAAAAAATCATAAAGCGCATATAATTGGTAATGATCAATAACTAATGGAATTTTTAAATCGATATCGAGCTAAACAGTCGCTTAATTTTGAGTTCTTCTTCAACCACAACTTTTGGTAGGAAATCTAAGATCCCGAATAGATGATTTTTTATTCTTTTGTTGGGTTATTGGTTAAAACGAGTATTAAAGCAGCAGGTTTATTAATTTTTGATAAGATTAATTTTATTTACAAATACAAGCATATTTCTCATTTTAAACATTGTGTAGTTATCTCGACAAATGGTATAGAAATAAGAGATTTGCAATGTTTTTTTCTTCTTCTACTTAAAGAATTTTAATATTATTTTAATTATTTTATCACAATATTTCCACTTAAGATAATAAAAATGACTTAAATGAAATCGAGTATAAAACCGTACTATATACTTTTAATTACGCCTTGTAAAGGTAATTTTAAATTGTTTACGGCACCGAATTTTATTTATTATTAATGTACCTTTTTGTTAAGTGAGTCAACATTTTTATTACTTCCTATAATAATTAACGGTTGTTCTATATAGAACAAAAATTATTTGTTCTGTACAGATGTATCTTTGGTAAAAAATTTATCATTATTGTTAGAATTATCGATTCTTAATTAAGTAATCTTCATTCAAAGTCTTTATTTACAAAATTTTGTGCAAGATGTTGATTGTCTTTATCATCGAATGCGGAAACAATTCAGAAAGATTAATCAAGATTATCATTAATACTACTACATTGTTTTCATGACTAAAAAAACTTCTACTTGGTACTAGCAGAAATCTCATATAAAAATAGTTACCACTGTTGACAGAGTAAAACAGATTTTTGGTTGATGTAATCTCAGATGTCCAGAATGAGAAAATACATTATTTATTTTAATGCGTTTGCATATTATATTAAGTTACATTTAAGATGACAACTACACTAGAAAAACCTTACCAGCCATTAAAATAATAGTACATGATATAATAATATTATCATGCCGACGATGTATCCATAAATAGAAGGTTTTGATTTGTGCTTTTTCGTGAATATACATGACAAAACCAGAATAAATTATACAGTTTGTAAAACATTTCTCAATAAAAAATACAATGATCGATATCATCGAAAACATTTTATAGCAATTTCACTTTCCGAAGTAAGCAAATTTTAGAAACTCTTTGTATTTTTTGTCTTTGCCACGGTATTGAATCACATTATTATTTTTTGTTCTGTTCTCAAAATATACATTAATCCAATACAAACGAATATAGATGAAACATTTAAAAAGTGGTGTTAAATATACGTTGCACATTTACTTTAATGCAAATCATCGTACCAATGATTCATCACACCGCATTGCATACTGTTAAATAAATTATAAAAGATCCACCGACAAAATAATCATACACCTTCCATCTCGATTGAAAATTAATTCAACTGAATACCACCTCGAGAGCTCTTGATAATTCGTTAGTCCCCCCATAGCCAGTCGAATCAATTTGCGTTACGAAGTAATCTCGTTGGCGCATGTGCGAGCAACAACAACAGCGCACGCAAACTAATAAAGTAATGAATAACGCGACCAAAACCTCTAATTAAACGCACCTACACACGCGTACTTCTCCAAGCAATGTATTGGTCATCCACTGGCAGCCGCTGTTTCTCTCAACAAATGGCCGGTAACAAGATAATTTATTCTAGTGTACGACCGGCAGTTATTCCCATGTACATACCTGTAAATTTTACTTGTAGACACATACAGGTAGTCAGGCCGGGTATTAATTACACGTATTGAAAAATACTCGACTTTAGCCATCGTGCGAACGATATGACTAGCCACTTCACTGCACGCGAGTCGATTAATTAACAGTGGCATTAGTGATTATAGAGCCCAATTAAGTAAAATAAAATGTTCAAGTATACCATTAGGTCGCAATAGATGCATGGTGAAGGAAGAAGAGGTAATGGCAGAGTGATTTAAAATCCTCTGATCTCAAAGGAGGGGAGTGACATCGTATGTATAACGAATATGTATATATATATTATATACGTTTTTATGGCCTGTAATGAAAGATGCATGGAGCATGCGAAAGGAACAACATGTATTTTATTAATAAGTTGGAGGGCCGTGCATTACGGGCATTAAGTTGATGTGTATATATATATATATATATGTACGTGTACGAGCTTATTCTTGTGTGTAAAAATGTATATACCTATGAGCGTTGGTAATAAGCTTATGGAGTGTATAATATAGAGGGTCAACGAGCTGATGGTAAACGTTGTGTTGCGCTGAACAAAATTATCAAAGCAATCTTGTACTGCTGATTATTTAAACGTGTGTTGTGGATGTTACAGCTAGTATGGAAATGGTGTGATTATTGTGATGTGATCCGTGATTTCACGATCGTACGTCATTTTCAGTGCGCGATTTTTTTGGATTAATAAACTGTTTCTTTTTTTTTCTTTCGTCAGAAGTGTATGATTAAAAAAACGTTAGATTTTTATTACCTACATCCACCCTGTTCTTAGTCACATGTAGTCTTCAGTTTACATCAAAAACCTCATATTTTTAAGGTCTTTATCAAAGGTGTAAAGATTATAATACAATAAATAATAAAAATAATAAATAGCTTTTATTTCAAGATTTGTATAACTTTTTGTGGTTTTGACAATCATTTAATAAGATGTTTGCCAAAAACTTATCATCTAGACTTGTACGTGAATAGTTCCATCGTTCTAAAATAAGTCTCTGGTTTTGCCAGCGTCACATAGGAATCATTGTTTTTTTACGATGCATTTCTATGTTTCAACACAGCATGTAATTAATTTCAAAGAATAACAAATCACTCAGTCGAAGATTATTGCATTTGAAATGCAAAGAACAATATCGTACTTTTCCTTTACGCGAGTACGTGCAGATCATAAATCTCAAGTTTCTCTATAAAGCTTGCAATTCGTATCCCAAAGTGAAAGTTTTGTGTTAACTTGTGCGAAAAAATCGGCTGAAAAACGAAATCATTTAATAATTTCATGTAATAATTTTTTTTATTGGTAACCAAGCAAAAAAGAGATGCAGTATTGAAGTCATGCTGTATTAAAAAACATCGTGTAAGTGATTCTGTATTCTAAACCAAAACTCTAAATCACTCATTATTTATGTTTTTACACAAAAGAATTTTTGATGTTATGATTCAGTGCCGAACATTTTCATATTGTATTTTACATAATATCTACTTAAATGTTCATTGTTACATTCGTTCCAGTTATCAATCACATTGAACATGATATCAGAACTAAAACATTACGTTACTATACCCCTTTATCTATATAATAAATTGTGATGTTATTGTATTAAAATAAATTTTTTTTTTAAGTTCTTGTAGATAAAAGTTTTTTTCAACAGAATGGTCAGATCAAGTTAAGTCACTTTAACTTCTTTGCCTATTAATGGCTTGTCCTACTTTAATAATGAAAAAGTTTTAAATAAAAAAAGGTGTTAAGTACGATAGCATGTTTTCTAATAATTTAGAAAAAAATAGATTTAAAATATATTAGTGACCCACTAAGGAATTAGTAGTTTTAAAATTTGTGAACCAAATAGACCACTTCACTTGTCAATTTAAAAAAAGCGCGTATCTGATTCCAAATTCATTTTAAGCTCTTTTAAACGTACTTTATTTTATACAAACATAAATCGCTCACGTGGAGCGGAAAAGTTTACGAGCCCATCAAACGGATGTGGAATGCCAATAAAACACCCACATTTAAATTTCACAACAAATCAAGAATCAACAAGAAAGACGTAATACAAATAATTATTTTTAATTAAAAAATAACTTATAATTCTGATGCTGTTCTACACTCCACTAATAACATAACATCTAAAACCTCAATAAAAACATTTTACCGTCACATAAAAATTGACCAATCGATATGAAAAGCTACACATTTTCCCCTTTGGCCTAGATAATTTCCTACGTGAAAGGTTCTATTATCCTATGTGTACTTGCACAAAGCATGCAATAGTCGATCACTTCACGGTCCTCCGATAAAATGAAAGGTACGGAACTTTCTCGTCACAAGTATAGACTCGATGCGCAGCTTCCTACTTTGCGACTCGTGGCTCTTTGACGGGAAATGACGTTAGCGCGGTTCCCTCTCTCTTCCTTTTGTGCATCTCCATTACGTCCCTCTAATTTATACCACAATATCTGCGGCCTGATTTAAGATACGAGCCTGAGGCCACGCATTCGGGAAACCGTAATTGACTCAAAGACCGATTGCAG